TGTCTGTCTCTGTGTCTCATGCTATGAACATTCTATTTATTGATAAAAACAGCAATCTCCTAAGATTACAAATAAGACAACAATATCCATTGTATTTTTTTAACATTGTTCTAGAAATATTAGACAACTCAGAGAAGAAATATATTTACTTGTAAAGGAAGAATTAAGATCATCATTAAATAATTATGCAAATGTCGATTTAAGATGGGTAGCTATAGGATATTTATCTAATAAATCTTGTGGAAAATTTTCCTCGCCATGTCTATCCAGATAAGGCCAAGATTTTAAACAGGTCCTTGAAATAATAATCAAATTTGAAAAATCCTTACAAATCATTACAAATAAGCACAGGGAACCTTTTTCTATCTCCATTTACAATTAAATTTCTTTTTTATTCTCTTATAATAAGTAATATGTGCATATATTATAAAATACAAAAGGTATTTTAAATAGCTATTCAGTGAAAAATCAGTCTTCCAGCCCTGTCAGAAATAGTCACTGATACCAGTTTTTTATGAATATCCTTCTAAGAGACATGTTTGACATATACAAAGCTAGCTTCTCAATCTTTTTACATTTATGGTAATGTACCACATAAACATTTTTATACCTTTTTTTTTTTAATTTTTATTTACTTATGATAGTCACAGAGAGAGAGAGAGAGGCAGAGACACAGGTGGAGGGAGAAGCAGGCTCCATGCACCGGGAACCTGACGTGGGATTCGATCCCCGGTCTCCAGGATTGCGCCCTGGGCCAAAGGCAGGCGCCAAACCGCCGCGCCACCCAGGGATCCCTATACCTTGTTTTTATTTTGTTTACTTAGTGATATTATCATGAAATGATGACAGATCAGCACAATCTACATTTTTAAAATCTTTTAGGGGCACTTGAGTGGCTCAGTGGTTGAGGATCTTCCTTTGGCTCAGGTCATGATCCCAGAGTCCTGGGATCAAGTTCCGCATCAGGCTCCCTGCAGGGAACTCACTTCTCCCTTTGCCTGTGTCTCTGCTTCTCTCTGTGTGTCTCTCATGAGTAAATAAATAATATCTTTTTTTTAATAAATAAAATCTTTTTTATTTATCTTAATCTTTTTATTTATCTTAATAAATCTTTTTTTAAAGCTTTTTTAAAAATCGTCTGGTGCTTATCATGACAAGTGCACTCTTTAATCCCCATCACTTATTGCATCCATGCCCCCACCCACCTCTCTTCTCAGAGTGGTCAGTTTGTTCTCTATAGTTAAGAGTCTGTTTCTTGGTTTGCCTCTTTTTTTCCCCTTTGTTCATTTGTTTCTTCAATTCTACATATGAATCACTGACCTTCACCTCCGAAACAATAATATGTTATATGTTAATTAACTGAATTTAAATTAAAAGTTTTTAATATTCCACATGAGTGAAATCATATGGTATTTGTCTTTCTCTAACTGGCTTATTTTGCTTAGTGTTATATTCTTTAGCTCCATCCATGTTGTAAATGGCAAGATTTCATTTTTTATGACTAATATTCCATTGTATATTTATACATCATCTTTATTCATCAATCAGTGGACACTTGGGCTGCTTCCAAATTTTGACTATTGTAAATAATGCTGCAATAAACATAGGGGTGCATGTCTCCCTTTGAATTGGTGTCTTTGTATTCTTTGGGTAAGTACCCAGTGGTGTAATTGCTGGATTGTAGGGTAGTTCTATTTTTAACTTTTTGAGAAACCTCCATATGGCTTTCTAGAGCGGCTGCTCCAGTTTGCATTCCCACTAACAGTGCAGTAGGGTTCCTTTTTCTCCACATTCTCCCCAACACCTGTTGTTTCCTGTGTTGTTGATTTTAGCTGTTCTGACAGGTGTAAGGTGATGATAGCTCATTGTAGTTTTGATTTGCATTTCCCTAGTGATAAGTAATAGTGAGCATCTTTTCATGTGTCTATTGGTCATCTGTATGTCTTCTTTGGAGAAATATCTGTTCATGTCTTCTGGTCATTTTTAATTGGATTATTTGTTTTTTGGGTATTGAGTTTTAGAAGTTCTTTATATATTTTGGATACTAACCTTTTATTGGATACATTATTTGTAAATACCTTCTTCCATTCCATAGGTTGCCTTTTAGTTTTGTTGATTGTTTCCTTCTCTGTGCAGAAGCTTTTCAAAATTTTGGTATAGTCCCAATAGTTATTTTTGCTTTTGTTTCCCTTGCCTCAGGAGACATATCTAGAAAAAAAATTGCTACAACTGATATCAAAGAAGTTACTGCCCATGTTCATTTCTAGGATTTTTATAGCTTCAGGTCTCACATTTTGGTATTTAATCCATTTCAAATTTATTTTTTTATGTGTTGCTGTCCAGTTTTCCCAACACCATTTTTTAAGATTTTTTATTTATTTATTCATAGAGACAGAGAGAGAGAGAGAGAGAGACAGAGGCAGAGATACAGGCAGAGGGAGAAGCAGGCACCACACAGAGAGCCTGACGTGGGACTCCATCCCGGGTCTCCAGGATCACGCCTGGGGCTGCAGGCGGCGCTAAACCGCTGCGCCACCGGGGCTGCCCAACACCATGTTTTTTGTTCTGTTTTGTTTTTTAAAGATTTTATTTATTTATTCATGAGACACAGAGAAGGAGAGGGAGAAGCAGGCTCCATGCAGGGAGCCTGATGTGGGACTTGATCCCAGGACTCCAAGATCACACGCCCTGGGCTGAATGAAGGCAGGCACTTAACCACTGAGCCATCCAGGTGTCCCTTGCAACACCATTTTTTGAAGAGACTGTTTCCCATTGGATATTCTTCCTGCTTTGCCAAAGATTAATTGGTCATGTAATTGTGGCTTTATTCCTGGGTTTTTCATTCTGTTTCATTATCTTTGTGTCTATTTTTGTGCCAGTACCATACTGTTTTGATTGCTACAGCTTTGTAATATAACTTGAAGTCTGGAATTGTGCCTCCAGCATTGTTTTTCTTTTTCAGGTTCCATACAAATTTTAGGATTGTTTGTTCTGGCTCTATGAAAAATGTTGTTGGTATTTTGATAGGGATTTCATTAAATGTGTAGATTGCTTCGGGTAGTATAGACATTCTAACAATATTTTTTCTCCCAATCCATGAGCATGGAATGTCTTTACACTTCTTTGTCATTTTCAGTTGCTTTCATCGGTATTTTATAGTTTTCAGAGTATAGGTCTCTCACCTCTTCAGTTAGGTTTATTCCTAAATATCTTATTTATAGCATTTTTTTTTAACAATTGTAAATTTAGGCTATGGTGATAAATTATAACCAGTTACATATTTAGGTTGCTTCTAGCCTTTTGGCTATTATAAGCAGGGCTGCAAAGACCCTGGTACATATGTGGTTTTGAGTACACATGTAAGCATATTTGACTGTTATATTATTGGGGCACCTGCATGGCTCAGTCAGTAAGCATCTGACTTTGGCTCAGGTCATGATCTTGAGGCCCTAGGATTAGCCCCATGTCTGACTCCCCACTCAGCAGGGAATCTGCTTGTCCCTCCCTCCCTCCCTGGCCCTCCCCCCAGCTCACAAGTATAGGTACGTGCACACTCTCAAGTAAATAAAATCCTTTTTTTTTTTTTTAAGGAAGTTAAAATACTAAATGTAGAGTTGCTGAATCAATGTAAATCCATGTATAATTTTGCTAAGTTCTCGTGGAGGCTGATAGTTTTACTAATTGGCAATAATGTATGAGAGTGCTTGCTAATAAGTAATATCAACTACTGGGTAATATCAACTTTATGGTATATTAGATTCCTATATGAATTTGGACTGCTCTTCAGCTTTTTTGTATCTACCAGGGTAGGCTAGGTTATACCATAGTAACAAACAACCTCAGAATCTTAGTGGCTTAAAAAAAAATCTTAGTGGCTTATAATAAGAAATATCTTTCCTTTTGGTACAAGGCCATTAAAGGTCACTTGGAAGTTCTATGCCATGACTTTCACTCAAAAACTTTGGCTAACAGAGTTGCTGTCATCTTGAACATTGCTGGTTGTCCTGGCTAAAGGAAAGAGGGCTCTGGAGAGTCTCACACCATCAATACAGTCATGCATGTATTGACTGTACATGCAATGTACAGTGAATGTACATGGAAAAATGAAGGTGGAAGATGGAAAGATGAAGGTATTTGGCAAACAGCAGCTATGATTAACTACCATATCTCTATTCTGTCCTATTAATCTGTCAGTTCATATGGTAGAAACACAAGTTTTTCTTTTTTGGAATGTGTCTGGCTGTTCTCTCATTTTCTTTTTTTTTTTAAATCTTTTTTTTTTTAATTTTTATTTATTTATGATAGTCACACAGAATGAGAGAGAGAGGCAGAGACACAGGCAGAGGGAGAAGCAGGCTCCATGCACCGGGAGCCCGACATGGGACTCGATCCCAAGTCTCCAGGATCGCGCCCTGGGCCAAAGGCAGGCACCAAACCGCTGCGCCACCCAGGGATCCCTGTTCTCTCATTTTCATATTTCCTATTGAACTAGAATTAGCTTCTCTAACCACCTCTACCCTCCAAAAAAGCCAAATTCTGTCAATATTTTTTATTTTGTTTGCATTATATTTAAAGAAAATTGACATCTTTATAGTATTGAGTTTCCACTGCCAAGAAGTAGATACATGTTTTCAATTATTTACATCTTTTGTGTCTTTCATATTAATGTAGATTGTTTATATTTATTAATAAGTATTCTTTTTTATTTTACTAGCATCTGTAAATGGTTATTTTAATACCTTCTTGATAATTAGGTTGGTTTTCTTGAAGAAGTAGAAAAGATATAATAATTTCTCAAAATAATTTCTCAAATAACATATCCATTACAAAATCGAAAATTTTTTCAAAAAAGTTAATACTGAAGATTTTTCTTTTCATAATCCATCTTTGTATTCTAGTAAATAAGTAGATTACCATTACCCCAACAATAATCTATTTCCTCTGGCAACTGGAAGCTTTTACCAAATTTTTAAGAATTATATTTGTTTTATGCTCTGCAGGTGTCTATTATGCCCACATGCACAGGAACTCAGGAGATGATGAGACATTAATGTAGAATATGATCTATCTCTAAAGAAAGAGGCTCACTGGCCCATTCATCCAACTTAAGAGATGTTGAAAATTAAACATCCCCAGGTAATTAGAGTTTTGAGTGACATAGGCATTGTTCTCCAATGCATTTTGAATTCTTTTGTTGTGAGAAAAAACATGTTTTCTTGGGGGAAAAATCTGATTATTTCTAAAAGTAAGCAGGTATTGTATTACACCTAAGGTTTGTTTCATGATGAGAATGAGAACTTCTCATTGCATCTTATTTCTTTTCACTGCCTTTGTAATTCTGATGTGAAGTATTTTCCTTCCTTACAACTTGTTTCTCATTTCATACTCCTTTTATCTCAGCATTACTCTCCTCTTTTCCTACAATCCATACTCTTTAAGAGTTCCATCCTTAGTTAACCACAAGACTGTGAATTAAATAGAAGTTGGTCATTAAGTGCCGCTAAGAGATTATTTGTGAAATTATAATGCATTTATGGTTGTGCTTGGGATAAAGGTCAGAGAGGAATAGAAGACATCAAATTTGAATACCTCACTGTTATCAAAGTGAAATCTCATGAAAATCTGATGGAATGAGGCACCTGGGTGGCTCACTTGGTTAAGCATCTTGCCTTCGGCTCAGGTCATGGTCCTGGGGTCCTGGGATGGAGCCCATATCAGGCTTTCCTGCTTAGGGGGAACCTGCTTCTCCCTCTCCCCACCCCCTGCTCATGCTTTCTCTCGCTATCTCTCACTATCACTGTCTCAAAATCTTTATAAATAAATAAATAAATAAATAAATAAATAAATAAATAAATAAATAAATAAATATCTGGTGGAATGATTTAAACTGAATATGGAAACTTTATCATTACACAAAAATGGAGAAAAAGTCTTTATAGAGCCAACACAAAATAAGTAGTGGGAATATGACAGAGTAAAAAGAGACCCACTAAACTAACAAACATCTGAAATATAAAATGTTTAAGGAGACAGACTTCAGTTGTGGTCAGCAAAGATAGCACCACAGCTTGAATTTAGAACCTGGGCAACACCAACAAAGAGAAAAGCTTTATGTAAACCCAGAGAAAACAATGAATAATGAAAAAAAAGAAAAAAAAAACTAAAATGCAGAAGGAATGGGATTATCAATAATAGGGCTGAAAAGGATAAATGACACAGTGACTATTAAAAACTGGTTAGGGGCAGCCCAGGTGGCCCAGCGGTTTAGCGCCGCCTTCTGCCCAGGACATGATCCTGGAGACCTAGGATAGAGTCCCACGTCGGTCTCCCTGAATGGAGCCTGCTTCTCCCCCTGCCTGTGTCTCTGCCCCCCCCCCCCCGTCTGTCATGAATAAATTTAAAAAACAAAAACAAAAAACAAAAAACCTAGCATTAATAGCATTAAAAAAAAAATCCTGGTTAGAATTTAAAAAAAAAAAAAACCTGGAAGCAGGGTGATAAAAGTATTTAAAAATTTATATCCCTTAAATTTTTATTTATTTATGATAGTCACAGAGAGAGAGAGAGGCAGAGACACAAGCAGAGGGAGAAGCAGGCTCCATGCACCGGGAGCCCGACGTGGGATTCGATCCCGGGTCTCCAGGATCCCGCCCTGGGCCAAAGGCAGGCACCAAACCGCTGCGCCACCCAGGGATCCCAAAAATTTATATCCCTTAAGAGAAAAAATGCCATCGGAATAGTGGAGTGGTCAATAAAATTGAGGCTAAATGGAAAAGATCCAGATTAAAGTACAGATGGAGGGATGCCTGGGTGGCTCAGCGGTTTGGTGCCTGCCTTCGGCCCAGGGTATAATCCTGGAAACCCGGGATCCAGTCCCACGTCAGGCTCCCTGCATGGAGCCTGCTTCTGTCTCTCTGCCTGTGTCTCTGCCTCTTTCTCTGTATCTCTCATTAATAAATAAATAAAATCTTTTAAAAAATAAAATGAAATACAGATGGAATGGACAAATAGGTTATAATAAATCCTATATAACTAGTTTTTTGTTCCTGCAACTCTCTTTTAAATAATGGCAGGGGAAGGGGGGTGTTGCAAATAGGAAGAAAACTCCAGTAAAAGAAAATTTGAAGTTATTGTAGAGAAAACCAGACCTTTGCCTACAGATTGAGAGTTTGGCATGTACTTATTTTCCAGACTTGACACTTAAAGCCAGTATACTTAGGCAGCCCGGGTAACTCAGTGGTTTAGCACCGCCTTCAGCCCAGGGCATGATCCTGGAGATCTAGGATGGAGTCCCACGTCGGGCTCCCTGAATGGAGCCTGCTTCTCCCTCTGCCTGTGTCTCTGCCTCTTTCTCATTCTCTCTCTCTCTCTCTCTCTCTCTCTGTCAATCACGAATAAATAAATAAATAAATCTTTAAAAAAGATTTATTTTTATGCAAGAAGTTAGTTGCACCTACCCTAAAAAATTTTCCATCTTAGGCTCCAAAATAAATATGCAAAAAGCAGTAGCTTTTTACTATGCCAGGAATGACCAGCTTAGAAAATATAATGGAAGAAAAAAGAAAGAAAATAAAATAGAAGAAAAGATCCCATTTATAATAAAAACAAAAATATGTATAATAACTGGAAATAAATTAAAGTATAAATCCTATATGAATAAAGCTATACAAATCTATTGAGAAGCATAAAGTAAAACTAGAATAAATGAAAAATAAGGTCCCTAAAATAAGCTATAAATTTAATATAATTTTAGTCAACTTCCCAACAGTATATATTTTTTAATTTATCTAAATTTAATTTAATTAACATATAGTATATTATTAGTTTCAGAGATAGAATTTAGTGATTCATCAGTTGCACATAATACCCAGTGCTGATTACATCAAGTGCCCTCCTTAATGCCCATTACCCAGTTACCTCATCCCCCACCCACCTCCCCTCCAGTAACATTCGGTTTGTTTCCTATAGTTAACAGTCTCTTATGGTTTGTCTCCCAACAGGCTGTTTTGTAAATTGCTTATGTGAAAAAAGATGGTATAAAAAAATAGCCTTGAAAATATTTTTTAAGAGTATTAATGGAAATAATGTTCTATTGTGTATGAATTGTTGGTATGCTAAAACTGTATTAAAACAAAACATTGGGAGCTGAAGCAGGCCGTTATCATAGAAAAAGGGGAAGGGACTACAAGATCCAGGAACAGACTCAGGCTTATATAAAAGTGACTCTGGGGGATCCCTGGGTGGGTCAGCGGTTTAACGCCTGCCTTTGGCCCAGTGTGTGATCCTGAAGTCCCAGGATCGAGTCCCACATCCGGCGCTCTGCATGGAGCCTGCTTCTCACTCTGCCTATGTCTCTGTCTCTCTGTCTCTGTCTCTCATGAATAAATAAATAAAATATTTTTTAAAAAAGTGACTCTGAAAAAGGTAGAATTTTTTTTTTAAGATTTTATTTATTTACTCAGGAGAGACACAGGCAGAGATACAGGCAGAGGGAGAAGCAGGCACCATGCAGGGAACCCGACATGGGACTCGATCCCGGGTCTCCAGGATCATGCCCCAGGCTGAAGGCGGCACTAAACCTCTGAGCTATCCGGGCTGCCCAAAAAGGTAGAATTTTAAGACAGAAGAGAAAGAACTTTATAAATGCTATTGGAACAAATGACTAACCATTTGGAAAACCAATTTTAGGTCTTTTTTCCATGCAATAGTTTCAAGATGGATTACAAATTTATTTATTTATTTTTAAAGATTTTATTTATTTATTCATGGGAGACACAGAGAGAAAGAGAGAGGCAGAGACACAGGCAGAGGGAGAAGCAGGCTCCATGCAGGAAGCCTGACGTGGGACTCGATCCTGGGTCTACCAGGATCAGGCCCTGGGCTGAAGGCCCCGTTAAACCGCTGAGCCACCCGGGCTGCCCGGATTACGTATTTAAATTATTTATTTATTTATTTACTTATTTATTTATTTAGATACATTATCTTATTTTATTCAAATACCAGTCTGATCACATATGGTCCAAGAACACTCAAATAATAAGCCACATAGAAAGAGATGTTAAAGATTGATCTTCAAACATTATAGCCAATGATGCCACGCTTGCCTATGATCTCGCGGACATAAAACCACATCCACACCTCGGTGGCCACCAAACCATTCAGCAGAGCTTCCTTAACTGTGAGCTGTTTGAAGCTACCAGTTTGAGCACTCTTGACTATTTTTTTCAAGCTCTGAATAGCTGTAGGGATCTCAGCAGGGGTTGGAGGAACCAGCTCAACCCTGGCATAGTGCCAAAAGGTGGCCAATCGAGGCTTCGAGTAAGTCACAGCAGCGTTCAGCAGCGCCGGAGCCTTCTTGGCGAGGTTACGGACCAACTGGGGCATGGCTTCAAGAGGGACGTCCCGTCGCCCCGCACAGCTGCTGAATACATATTTAAATTTATGATGCAGGGCAGCCCCGGTAGCGCAGCGGTTTGGCGGCGCCTGCAGACCAGGGCGTGATCCTGGAGACTCTGGGTCGAGTCCCACGTTGGGCTCTCTGCATGGTGCCTGTTTCTCCCTCTGCCTGTGTCTCTGTCTCTGTCTCTCTCTCTCTCTGTGTGTGTCTCTATGAATAAGTAAATAAAGTCTTTAAAATAGTAAAATAAATTTATGATGCAAAACCATGTTGGTATTATAAAGAATATAGATGAGAATTTCTATAATCTCAAATCAAAGACAGAAACCATAAGCAAGGGTCACAAACTTTGCGCAACAGGGCCAGGTAGAAAATTGAATTATTCAAGTGCACTTTGGTAGAAAACAAAATCATGTAATCCTTGATTTCTTTTATTTTTTGATAGAAGTAGAAATATTTATCTTCTTTGAGAAAAGTAACAGGATAAGTACAACAATAAGTGACTACTGACATTTGGTTCGGAGTTAGGGAGTGTTGGGGGGTGGTGGAAATTGTGACAAAGGAGAGCATACTGACCAAGGCCCAAGGATGCACTCACCCTAGTATGTAAGAATAACTCCTCCTCTCCTGCCTCCCATTTGTCCAACAACATGGCAGCTTCCAGGCCCCAAGGCCACTGAGCAATTGCTGCCATGCAAGAATAAAGCCCAGAATCATCAGATCTTCTGATCTTTTTCCGTGTAAAGCTAGACATTGCAGATTATATATAAAATCTCCCAAATTTAATCTGTTATCTCAATTTTTATAACTTTGTATAGGCCAAACAAAATATATTCACAAGGCCAGATTCAGCATATAAGCCTCGAGTTTGTGAACTCCACTGTATAGTTTTGGTTTTGGCTTCATGGTTATGCTTACCTCTTTAAATGAGTTGGGATGTGTTCTTTCTCTCAACCTCTCTGTCTGTCTGACTGTCTCTCTCTGTATCAGTTTATCTGGCAGAGGTATTATCTGTACAAGTTTAGATGGAGTTCCACCTCCATTGCCATCAGGTCTGAGCTTTTATTGTGAAGACAGAGTTCTATATTTTCAGGATTTCTTCTTGAGCCAGTTTTGGTTGTTCATATTCCTGTAAAATGGTACATTTAATCTAGGTTTAAGTAAATTCTCTTATAGTTTTTTTTTTAATATCAGCTTATCAGTAGCTTTTATCTCTTCCACGCTTTTAATATTGTATTGGTTAGTTGGTTGATTTCAGTTCCCCTGTAGATATTTTGTTTGTTTTAATTCACCTATTTTTGTTTGACCTATATTAATATCTTCTGTTTTATTTTGTTTGATTTGTTCTTTTTCTAGCTTCCAAAGTGAATTCTTTTGTTCATTTGATAATTCTTTTTAGACTGATAATATAAGATTGAAAATACGAATTTTTCTCTTAGTACAAGGCTTTTTCCTCCAATGTGATTAATTTCTAAATGGTCTGTAATTTGTTTTGATTACCTCTTGAACCCACATCATTTCAAAGATTATTTTTTGAATCTCCAAGTAGTTAGTTTTCTTTTGTTTATCTTTTGTTGAGTTAATTTTTCATTATGAGCACAGAATGTGATCTGTTTGTACCCTTTTAAATGTTCCTTATAACATAAACAATCAGTTTATCTAAACATAGATATTCCGGAATCATTTGAAAAGAATGTGTTTTCCTGTAAGACACAAAGTTCTAAATGTATATTATTTGTTAATGATAATATTCTCTCTCTCTTTTTAGGCTCCCGTGTTTTTACCAAATTCTTAGTGTGTTTCTAATAATGTTTGCTTCTGTATTTTGATGCTGTGTAAAGGTTTGTGTTTGTTATCTTTTTTATTTAAGATTTATTTATTTATATTTATATTGAAAAAGAGAAAGAGTGCAGAAGTGCAAGGACAGACAGAGGGAGAGAATCTTCAAGCAGACTCCCTACTGAACACAGGGCTCAATATGGGGCTTGATCTCACCACCCATGAGATCTCACCACCCACCCATGAGCCTGAGCTAAAACCGAGTGTTGGATGCTCAACCAGCTGAGCCACCCAGGTGCCCCATTTCTGTTATATCTTATTTGGTTACGTATACACCTCTAATTTTTTAATCACTATAAGACATCATTGTTCCTTGTAACCTTTTTCTGCCTTCATTTCTACTTGTCTGAAATTGGTACTCCTACAATATTTACCTGCAGTATTTTTACTCATTTTCTTATTGCCACCCTCATTTAGAAGATTCTTAGAATTGTTTTCAGTGTTTTCTTATAAGTAGCATATAGCTGATTATTGTTTTTATGTAGTCTTAGAGTCTTTTAATAAGGAGATTTAAACCATTTAATACCCGCATAATTAACTGCCTACCATTTTATTTTATATTTCTTTAATTTGCTTTCTTATGCCTACTTCCTTCCCTTTTTATACATTTTAGATTTTACTAAAATGATCCAGTTTTCTTTGCTTCATTTTCTTCTCTCCTAGTCATGCAAATTATACATCTAATTTGTGGTTCACTACATTTTAACAAACATATTGTGTTCTTTGATTTTTTTTGTTTAGTTTTTTTTTTGTTTTTTTGTGTAGATGCTTTTTATCAAGTTGATGAAGTTCCCTTCTATTCCTCTATTTCTAGGAGTTTTTATATTGGGTGGATGTTGAATTTTGTCAGATGGGTTTTTTTGCATCAATTATCATGGTCATGTGATTTTTAAATTCTTAAGCTATTTAATATGGTGATTATATTGACTTTTAAAAAAATATTAAGCCAGCTTTACATCCATGAGATAAGGTCCACTTAGTCCTAGTGTAAAATTCTTTTTATGTTGACGAATTCTACTTGCTAAATTTTGTTGAGAATTTTTGTGTTTATATTCGTGAGACACTATCCTTATCTGCTTTGGTCTTAAAAAAGACCGATTCCTCTCTCTCTGTGTCTCTCATGAATGAATAAAATCTTTTTTTTAAAAAAATCACACCTATTTATTGTATTTATAAGATTTTATTTATTTGAGAGAAAAAGAGCACGATCAGGGGGAAGGGGCAGAGGGAGAGGAAGAAGCAGACCCCCTGCTGAGCAGGGAGCCCAATGAGGGACTCAATCCTAGGATCCTGAGATCATGACCTGGGCTAAAAGCACATGCTTAAGCAACTGAGCCACCCAGCTGCCCCAATATAGTTGTGATTTTATTTTTTATTTTTCTTTTAAAGATTTATTTATTTATTCATGAGAGACAGAGAGAGAGAGAGAGAGAGGCAGAGACATAGGCAGAGGGAGAAGCAGGCTCCCTGCAAGGAGCCCGATGCAGGACTCTATCCTGGACCCCAGGATCATGCCCTGAGCAGAAGGCAGACGCTCAGCCACTGAGCCACCTAGGTATCCCTAGTTGTGAATTTAAACAATTAAATGTTAGCACTGTGGGAAACTTGGCAAAATATAAGAAAGATCTGGGCAGCCCAGGTGGCTCGGCAGGGGCAGCCTGGTGGGGCTCAGCGGTTTAGCACTGCCTTCAGCCCAGGGCGTGATCCTGGAGACCTGGGATCGAGTCCCATGTCGAGCTCCCTACATGGAGCCTGCTTCTACCTCTGCCCGTGTCTCTGCCTCTCTCTCCCTGTGTCTCTCATGAATAAATAAATAAAATCTTTAAAAAAAAAAAAAAAGGAAGATGTTATTTTTTACAACTACCTATGAATCTACAATTATGTCAATAAAATATCAGGGAAAATTGTTTTATTCAAAAACGGGAGTGAGAGGACAAATCTGCAAGTCTACAAGTAAAATTGTGGAAGGTTGGAGCTGTGGAGAGTTAATTTGGGGGAGATAAGAACTGCAGCTGCTGTAGAGGGGAGGGAGCTCTGCTTATGGAGACTACCACAAGGTATCATAAGCAGTTTTAGAAGTCCACCACCACCAAGGTCATGTCTGGCTTAAAGGTGCTCCAGTGGGGAAGGAGGGTAGAGATGTGGGAGCAGACAGCACAGACTGAGGATCCCATGGGTCACAAGAAGGAGTGGTCCCAACATGCTGCACTGTTACCAGGCATAGGAGCAGATAAAATTATGGAAAATAATGAAGCTGAAAAGAAGAGGGAAAGAAAGATAATGGATCACGAATTTGGACTTAGGGAACTCAGTGACGTATTAAAATGTAATAATATTCATTTCATGGGAGTCCCAGAAGATGAAAAGAGAGAAAAAGGGGCATGTTTATTTGAGCAAATTACAGCTGAAAACTTCCCTAATCTGGGAAAGGACACAGACAGCAAAATCCAAAAAGCACAGAGAACTCCCATTAAATTAAACAAAAGCCAGACATTGCCAAGGCATTTCATAGTCAAAATTCACAAAATACACAGACAAGGAAAGAATCCTGAAGGCAGCAAGGGAAAAAAAGTTCTTAACCTACAAGGATAGACACATAGTCGCAACAGCCCTGTCTACAGAATTTGGCAGGCCAGAGGGGATTGGCAAAATATATTCACTGGGCTGAATGGGAAAAATATGCAGCCAAGAATACTTTATCCAGCAAGGCTGTCATTTAGAATAAAAGGAGTGATAATTTCCAAGACACGCAAAAACTAAAGGAGTTCGTGACCACTAAACCAGCCCTGCAAGAAATATTTAGGGGGACTCTTTGGGGGAAAAAAAGACCAAAAGCAACAGACTAGAAAGGAACAAAGAACATCACCAGAAACACCAACTTTACAGGTAACACAATGGCACTAAAATATCTTTCAATAATCACTCTGAATGTAAATGGATTCAATGCTTCAATCAAAAGACACAGCATATCAGAATGAATAAAAAAAGAAAAGACCCATTGATATGCTGCTTACAAGAAACTCATTTTATACCCAAAGACATCTGTAGATTGAAAGTGAGCTGGTGCAGAACCATCTACATCATGCTAGTGGACAACAAAAGAAAGTTAGAACACCATACTTATATCAGATAAACTAGATTTTAAAACAATTCTGTAACAAGAGATGAAAAAGGGCACTATATTATAATCAAGGGATCTATCCAACAAGAAAATCTAACAAATTGTAAATATTTATGCCCCTAGTGTGGGAACACCCAAATAGATAGGTAGGTAGGTAGATAGATAGATATCAATTATATATGTATATCAATTAATAACAAACATAAACTCATTGATAATAATACAATAATAGAGGATTTTAACACCTCACTTATAGCAATGGACAGATAATCTAAGCAGAAAATGAACAAGGAAAACGATGGCTTTGAATAACATATTGGACCAGATGGACTTAACAGATATATTCAGAACATTTCATCCTAAAGCAGCAGAATGTACATTCTTTATGCATACACATGGAGCATTCTCCAGAATAGATCACATACTGGGTTGCAAATCAGCCCTCAACAAGATCAGAAAGATCAAGATCATACCAAGCATATTTTCAGACCACAATGGTATGAAACTTGAAGTCAACCACAGATTTCATTCTGATTCCCAAGTAATATTCCACTGTGTACATATACCACTCTTCTTTATCCATTCATCAGTTGATGGACATTTGGACTCTTTCCATAATTTGTTGTTGATAATGCTGGTATAAGCATCAGGGTGCATGTACCCCTTTGGTCTGTATTTTTGTATCCTTTGGGTAAATATCTAGTAGTGCAATTGCTGTGTCATAGGGTAGTTCTATTTTTAACTTTTTGAGGAAGCTTTGTACAGTTTTCAAGAGTGGCTGCCCCCGTTTGATTTTCCCACAAATAGTGCAAGAGGGTTCCCCTTTCTCCACATCCTCACCAACATCTGTTGTTTCATGTGTCTGTTAGACATCTACATGTCTTCTGCCCATCTGTTAACTGGATTGTTTTAGGGGGTGTTCAGTTTGATGAGTTCTTTATAGCTTTTAGATACTATTTATCAGTTATGTCATTTGCAAATATCTTCTCCCATTCGTAGGCTGCCGTTTAGTTTTGTTGATTGTTTCCTTCCTTGTGCAGAAGCTTTTATCTTGATGAATCCCAGTAGTTCCTTTTTGCTTTTGTTTCCTTTGCCTCAGGAGACGTGTCTAGTAAGAAGTTGCTGCTGCTGCTGAGGTCAAAGAGGTTACTACCTGTTTTCTCTTCTAGTATTTTGATGGGTTCCTGTCTCTCATTTAGGTCTTTCATCCATTTTTTTAAAGATTTTATTTATTTATTCATGAGAAACACAGAGAGAGAGAGAGGCAGACACACAGGCAGAGGGAGAAGCAGGCTCCATGCAGGGAGCCCGACGTGGGACTCAATCCCGGGTCTCCAGGATCACGCCCTTGGCTGAAGGCAGCGCTAAACCACTGAGCCACCCGGGCTGCATCCATTTTGAATTTGTTTTTGTGTATGGTGTAAGAAAGTGGTCTAGTTTCATTCTTCTGCATGTTGCTGTCCAGTTTCCCCAACACCATTTGTTGAAGAGATTGTCCTTTTTCCTTTAGCTATTCTTTCCTGCTGTGTCAAAGATTAGTTGACTGTATAGTTATGGATCCATTCCTGGGTTCTCTATTCTGTTCCATTGATCTATGTGTCTGTTTTTGTACCAGTACCAAACCATCTTGTATGACTACAGCTATTTATTAATTTATTAATTTATTAATTTATTTATTTATGATAGGCACACACACACAGAGAGAGAGAGGCAGAGACACAGGCAGAGGGAGAAGCAGGCTCCATGCACCGGCAGCCTGACGTGGGATTCGATCCAGGGTCTCCAGGATCGCACCCTGGGCCAAAGGCAGGCGCCAAACCGCTGCACCACCCAGGGATCCCTGACTACAGCTTTGTAATACAGTTTGAAATCAGGAATTGT